CTATGCTAATATAAACATGTTCAATAAGTTCACTGCAAATCTCGATTTTTGGAAGTGTGTGTTTTTGAACACAAAGTGTTCGAATATGTCGTCACCCATTTGATAAATATTGTAGACACTCTTAACACACTTGAAACGTGTAAACATTTAGTACAATGCTAATCGAATAATATAAAAAGTGTGCATATTAAATAAAAAGCGTAAAATAAGATCTATGCACTTTTTAGGAGCCCGAGTATCTCTTAGAGAACCGTTTAAAGAATTGATTGCATCGAATTGATGTAAATAATAGTGATTATATATATATATGTAAATAATAGTGATAAATAATAGTGAGAGCAGAATTTTTTTTCCAATACCTGCTTTCCGGTTACACAAAGTATATAATGCGTTCTTGGGTAGCGATATACGCTTTTATAATAAGATTCCAAAAGAAAAGTTAGATCTTTCACCTTTTCAATTTAAGTCAGACAAAAATGCTTGGAACTGACCTCTCGTACTACACAGGACTAACTAGAAATTTCTAAACCAATTTGGTATCTACATATACATTTGACATTTTATGTTTGACTTATCGCTTTACATAATTATAGAACTATTGTAAAAATTTTTACGTAGGCACACTATACCTATCTGGCAACGCATCTACTTTATTAATCTTCTGAAGAATCATATATATAATAAAATTAATTTTATCAAAAGATGCCGAACTTTCCTTTGTCGGTCTTTCGGCGTATACTTACAAATAGTAGTATTTATTTTAATTCCAATCATTCCCAATTGAGCTTTGCTTCGAGTCTAATGTTGTTTTACTCTAAACCTTGTTGTTCTCGGAGTGATAAGTTTACAATTTGACATGAGTGACGAAGAGTCGAATAGTTCTAGTCGGAGTAGTGAGAGTTGGAGTTATAGATCTAAAAGACCTAAAAGTAAATTTGATGAGTTTTTCGACATAATTCATGCATCCCAAATTGCTTTGTGTAAATTATGCCAACATAAAAAGTTTGAAATAAAAATGAAAAACAGAAACACTTCAGGCTTAAGGAAGCATCTAATATCTTTCCACAAAAAGGAATCACAAATATTTCTTCCTGAAAAACCAAAATTAAGTGGAGATATCACAAGCTTTTTAATAACCACCGGAAAAAGTGGACAGGTAAGAAAAAATATACTTATCACACAATTACATAACACATATATTATGTAACTAGCGGCCGCCTGCGACTTCGTCCGTGTACAATGTCTTCTTTCCTATGAGATTTTGAAATTTTCTCGCTGCAAAAGTTTTATCTAAGTATAAAGAGGCTATATAGGTAAAGCTTAACTATGCAAGTATTTATTATTTAAAACTAATAAAGTAAATGTCGATCTTCATATCTATACTTTAAAAATATAGGACTTGCATGCCATTTTACCCCAATTTCACCCCCTTAGGGTTAGGATTTCGTAAAACAGCTTATTCAGGATTTTATTATTGAAATCTTATAACTTTAATGCCAATTTTCGTGTCTCTAACTTCAAAAACGTGGGACTTTCATACAAACTTCCAACTCCCATTTCACTCCCTTAGCGATAGATTTTCTCGAAACCGTAGTTATATATATATATATATATATATATATATATATATATATATTTATTTTATAACTCACTCATATTTTCATTTGTTTTTATAATCGGCGAGACACATGATTTACTGTTTTATTTCAGTCTGAAAATAGCAGTGACAACATCACGACAGCTACAGCTGATTGCGTGGTAAAAAAATATCTCACCTTCTCCTTTTTCGATGACGAAGCTACACAAGTATATTTTCGATCAATTTGCCCAAATATGGTGTTTCCTAAAAGGTCCACACTTAGAAGGAAGGGCAAAGAACGGTTTGAAGAGCTTCAATTGAATCTTAAGAAACGACTACAACAATTTTCATCTAAAATGTCATTTACCATTGATGGATGGACGGCAATTGGTAGGAGTTACTACGGGGTTCATTATATAGACAACGTATGGAAGTATCGATCTGTAGTCCTTGATTGTATACCATCACGCGGTCGACATACTGGGGAAGATATTGCAACGATTTTCCGCGAATGTTTATTGGAATATGACATAATTGATAAAATACAGGGTATCACGGTCGACAACGCAACTGCAAATACCAAATTTATGTATGAATTGGACAAACAGCTGCCACACTTTGATTCAGACAATCAACATTTCCGGTGCTTTGTTCACATTTTGAACCTTGGTGTACAAGATTTATTAAAGACCTTAGCATTACACAGTGAAACTGACAATAAGGGACAAGAACAGCAGTATGAAGATAATGAAGACGAAACTGAGGAAGATGAAGAATATGCGCCAAATATCGCTGACTCACGTACATCTATAACAAAATTACGCAGTATTTCCAGTAAAATAAAAAGAAGTGAGATATTGAAGAGGAAGTTTCAGTCTGCTTGTGAAGCAGCTGGCGTGCCATCAAATCTGAACCCCATACTCGACTGTCCAACGAGATGGAATTCCACACATGATATGATTGGATTTTTAGGAAGTTAACGTATTGTGCATTTCTGTCACCGAATTGAATGATTTTCAAATCACAGATAGTGAATGGCAAATACTCGAAAAAATACATAAGTTTCTAATAAACTTTAAACTTCTATCAACGAAACTTGGTGGAGAAAAATATGTTACATTACCGCTAGTCATTGTATCATTCAATCTCTTGCTCCATAAAATTGAATCCATGGTAAAACAATTAGATGAGAAACCCTAATCGATCCGAAGTGGATGAAAGGCTCATTCTGGGTTTTCAAGCAGCTCGAGACTAAATGCTTAAACATTATAAAAAGAGCAACTGGATTTATTGTACCTCTTTAATTTTAGACCCAAGGCATAAGACTCAGACTTCAGATTTTGACATGACATTATGGGGGAAGCAAATTAAAACAGAAAGCCTGCGCAAATTTAATGAACTTTATAAAGAATATAAAAGTCTACATTCAGTGAATACATCTCTAGAATCACCAAGAAATGAAAAGAAAGTATGTGAATATGATGAAGATGAAGACGTAATAGACTTTGAGAAGTTGTATGAATGTCCCTGGACGTCATCTGGATCTGGATCTTTTCGTCAAGGCTTAGCTATAGACAAGTTGGAGGAGTACCTAATTAAACCCAGAGCCGCCAGTTCGGAAGACATTTTAGAGTGGTGGAGGACGCATGAGACAGAATATCCGACTTTATCGAAGATGGCCCGTGATTTTCTTGCAATACCTGCAACTTCAGTACCTGCTGAGAGATTATTTTCTAAAGCATCATTAGTAATTAGAAAACATAGAAATAGGTTAAGTGATGAGTCAGCCAGATGGTTACTTTGTATTAATTCTTGGTCAAAAGAATTAATATAAAGTAGTAACAGTAATGTCAAAGCTGTTGTGTACTGTTATGTAATTTAATTTGTATTGTATTTTATTTTTTTATTTAAATAAATGGTAAATTATATAACTTTTTTATTCCATTTCATATAAGGGTCTATCAATCTCTTTCTAGACAGATAATGTTCTTTACAATACAGTCAAGTTAATGTCATTAATTTGTTTTTTATATGTTTTGACTAAGTTTTAGCACATGTAAGCTTATTAAATGTAAACTTTTATTAAGAAACAGACTAACTCCCGTGGCCGTGAGACTTGGTAGACAGCTCAGTTGGTTAGAGCATCGGCACGGATCGCTTAGGTCGTGGGTTCAAATCCCACCCGGTATTAGTTGATTTTTCGAATTTCTAGTTTTTCTATATATATATTTTTCGAATTTCTCATTAGAAATTCGAAAAATATATATATAGAAAAACCAACCAAATTAATAAATGTCTTAACATTTAATGAAATGTTAAGACATTAATTTGGTTGGTCTTTCTATGGCTATGTTAATTCAAGCTCAAAATGTGCATACTCTATTAAGTTTTTCTAAGATCTAAAGTAACGTTTAATAAATAACAATAGGCTAATAGGTAATTGCGAGACTTGCGAGACTCTTGCTGCAAGACCAAGACCAAGAACAAGATTGAGAGCGCAATACCAAGACCAAGAACAAGACCAGGTGTATTGGTGCAAGACTAAGACCAAGACTGGCTAAGTCTCGTCTTGTTCTTGCATTTGGGCAACACTAGCAGGGGCTATGCGCTCGCTGTAAATTTCACACTACTCGAACAACCCAGGTTCGATTCCCGCTGGCTCCGACAAAATTGTTAATTGTAATTTTAAGTGCTGATTTACCATGTGCTCGGTGGTAAAGGAAACCTTCGTTAGGAAACCCGTATGTTTGAAATATATGTATGCTTCTTAGATATATGAAGTTCACCAACACTCAGTGAGGCAGTGCGGCGAACATTTCCTTGCCCTAAACGCTCTCAGAAATGAGAGGTCTGTTCCCAGCCGTGGGACGTATATGTTTTTAACATTAACACATAACAATATTAACATGCAAATACTTGGTCGAATATTACGAAGTGTACTGTGTTCGCTAGTTTTTCACCTTTTTTAAATAAAAAGATAATCAACAAATTTAAGCTTAAATGAGATGTGCAGTTGTATATCAATCACATGAATATGATATTTATATTTTTAATACCGTTAACTATATCTTGTGCAAACTAAAGAACAATGGTCTTAAAATCGAGCCTTGTGGTATTCCGCGTGTTACTGCTGGTATAGGTGATGAATTCAACAATTCCTCTTTTTAACTATAACAATAATGTAACGAATAAATTAAGAAGAAACTAATAACAAGAAGATATATTCTTATTTGATTTTAGAAGAATAAAATCAAAATAATAGTGTACAGTGAATGCATATTTCTATTTATGCTTTACAAAATTGAAACGTGGTGGAAGCTTACTACTGGCTTTCCATACTCGTTAAAATCTAATAATGTCCGTAGCATCACAAAAGTATCCGATACAGTATACTAATTCGCTGTAGTTTGTTGAATTGATAATGTGTTGGTGGTGTAAGAGTAGTATGAAGAGCTTAAACCCGAGGGAAAAGAAGAAATGTATGTGTGCGGTGCGCGCAGAGTGCCTGTGGGCGGACGCGGAGGCGCTGGCGTGCGCGGCGCGGTGTGCGGGCGCGGTGTTCGGTGCAGGCGGGGGAGCGGCGGCGGGCGGCGCACGGCTGCGGCTGCGGCTGGGGCACGGCGCGCTGGTGCGCGCGCTGCTGCGCTGCGTGGGGCTGGAGGGCGGGGCGGCGGGCGGCGCGGGCGGCGCGGTCGCGCTGGCGGCGCTGCGTGAGTACGCGCTGGGGCGGCTGGCGCGCGTGCAGCTGCAGACGCACCTCGCCACGCTGCCGCTGGACGCGCGCCGCGCCGCGATGCTGCTGCGCCTGGCCGAGGCCGACGTGCCGCTGCACGACCTGCCGCATCTCGTTGCCAAGGTTACACACGCGATTTTATCCTACGCACAGTATAGCACCAAAACTATTCACACACACGTTAGTTTGAATTTTACTATAATTAACGAAAACTACACTTTGCTAATTATATTATTTACAAAATTCTGAGTGTACTACCTAAAATTATCAAACAATCAAATCGTAACAAAAAAGTGGGTTCTCTGCTTAGTTGCCTATTTATTTTGCGAAAGAATTTATATCATATGCATAACATCTACAAACTAGTTATGCAACCACATGACCATAGGGTTGTTAGGGTTTGTACCTAGAGGGGCTGCATAAGCATTAGACAGTATCCAGTAACTGAGACAGTACTTTTGGTTGCATGAGTCATCAGGCAGAGCTCATGGGAGCGGACACTACGTTTTGACATCGACTTCTGTCAAGACGTATTAATTAAGTAATTATAGTTATACTTGTAATTAGAAATAAAATAAATTTTAAATAGTTTTTAAAAAATCATTTTACGTTCCCGTAACCTTGACTAACTTGTAACATACTTTAATTTATTTTTACAAAGTTGTAACTCCACAAAGGAAATATATTTTCAATTTTTATTTTCCATTCCTTGTATCCTGTACAATTATATTTAGTAAGTGTGGGTGGTCGGCGCAGGTGCAGCAGGACAGATGGAGCGGCGTGCTGCAGCGCGCGCTGCGCGAGCTGGCGGAGGTGGAGCGGCGCGCGCGCGCGCTCGGCGTGGACGTGAGTGCTGCCGTACCTCCCGTAGCACGTGCATTTATTGCTTTCCTTTTGTAAAACTATCATGATTTTTTTTAAATAGAATAAGAATGACAAATGATAACACAGTACACCTGATAATAAGTGGATGATGAGGTTCATAGACATCAACTTTTATCCTCGACTAACAATCAAAAAGCAGATGCGTTGCTACCCTTGAGGACTGAGATGGAATGCCTGGTTTGGAAAGAGATCTTTTATCACTATACTTATACTCTTATGATACATATATATACATATATATATATATATATATATATATATATATATATATATATATATATATATATATATATATATATATATATATATATATAATCACTCTAGTTTTAGTGTGATTTGTCCAACCGTCTCTTTTTGGTTAAGGGTTTTATAACAGTTTTATCATCATTAACTGATAAACTATATCCCTACTCCAGTTATTTATGGTGTTTAGGGCTCTTTGAAATGATTAATGATAAAGTACTTCAGCAAAAACCCTTCGCATTGACCATAAGGTTATCAGCATAACCCAGTGTATCAATGCGAAGGTCTGCCATCTTGTACAATAATTTCTCAACCGCAAGAGTCTAAAGAAGGGGTGACAGGACATCTCTTTCTGGACAACCTCTTGTAGTTGCAACCTAAATCAAAGTTTGATATAGCACTATTTTTGCCTTTCTGTTTAAGAACATTGACTTCACCCACCTGATAATTGTGGGGTCAAAATTTTTAGATGTCGGGCCTCCAACCAGCGGTGATGTGGGGCTACTTTCGAAGGCGCCCTCAATATCTAGAAAGGCACAAAGAGCTATATCTTTTTCTTAAGGAGAGCCTCTGCCGATGGGTCATCCAGAGCAAAGGTTCTAGGAATCTATACTCCCCGTCCCTACCGTAGAGAATTTTCCAGAGTTCGGTATGGAGCCCTTCATTTTGTGCCCTCAACATCACGGCTACATCTTCTGGAGAGTCAGGTTCGCTGCGAGGCAGATATGTGATACCCAGCTAAGGCTTAGGCATTTCGCGATGAGATATTATGAAGAACTCTGCCTCCATGCAGGATTTCAGTTTTCCGACTTCACCCACAATCCAGTTTGGGCTTGCTTTAGTTTGGCACGTTACTAGAACCCAACCTCCCGCGGTGCCGCTCCGGGCTACGCTCCACAGCTGTATCGGCGCTAGCCTGTTAGTGCCCGGTGGACAGCGTCGTGTGCTTCACGCTCATAGGATTCGAATTTCGAATTCCGACACGCGCGGAGCCAGCTACGGCACTAAAACTGAACTTATTCTCCCCCGTTGCCAGCTTTATTTTATTTTATAGGATAAGCTTAACACTAGCAAGACGGCCAAAACAGCTAACCTACAGAGACGGTCAAGGGTCATTTGACCCACCACTACTACCTTGTCTCTAATTAAGCATATATGTATAGTATAGTTTTATAAATTATAGTTAATATTCATTGTTAGAAAGGAAAATGAAATATTTTTGGTTTCTAGTATAATGAGGTGTTTAATAAAAAAATATTTACAGTTATGGCATATGAACATTTTTGGTTGATTGCATTTGCCAGATGGCACGCTTTATTGGTATTATTTTTATTATTTTCACAGTGAGTTTGATAGCAATTACGCCTATTTCTTATTCAGCAGTAGGCATTTTTAGGCCATAAAATGTTACAGCGAAGTCACAGGAGTAGGTTCTTTTAAAATTTTACTGACTGACCGCCAATTGTAAAATTATAATACCTATATTGTGTTGTAAATTTTTTGGTACAACAGCGAGGCATTTATTGCAGATAAATCTAAAGTATTATAAAATACTTATGTAATGGTCATCTTTTAGTAGTTGCTTTTGTGTTGCATCTTCTAGCCATTTGATCGACCACGTCAACATCATATTTCAATTGTAAAACATTACAGTTTCAAATTTTTTCTTGAAATTATCATGATCATTGTTATATTATGATGTATTCAATAACAAAACATTTTGGATTCTCTTTGTTTGGTAAACGTATGGAATATCACGTATGATTGAATATCGTGTGTTTTTACATTGGAATGTCACTCCTCTCTTTGTTTATAGCACTAACCAAAGATGCACGCTTGAAAGCAAGTTATGTGCGGGAGACACAGAAGTGAAGACATTGCCTGTACTCACATCGTTACCTCTATATAGAAATGTTTCCATTCAGGTGCATGACGACGCCATCAAAAATTTTCAGGCTGTCATGAACTTCTCTCTTACTTGCCTTCGTGCATAGGCAGTAGGTTCTGGCTGTTGACTCACAAAATTATGACTTCTTCGGCGACCTGCCGCCGACCTCGGAGCCATTTTTAATTATAGATTTCCTCCATCTTCTACCTGGTGGCATTATATTATTATGAGACGTATCTCGATAAAATGATGTTCGAACACCACGCACATCGTGATGCTCGAACATTATTTTATGTTTATGTCGATCTTCCTCTAGTTTGTTGTTGAATGGCAGCCAACGATATGTTGCTGGCTGAATCATCACTAGAACTGGATACACCTTCACCATCACTATCCAATTGATCTTCTGGCAACGATTGAAATAATGTCAACATTTGTGTCAATATATACTTAAGACATTTTTACGAATATCAACAGTAAAAAATGAAATTAACTCAATGAGAACGCGTAAAGTAATGAACTTATAAGCTAAAATATGTAGGTACGTGAAACAAGATCAGTAAATAAAATAAAAGTAAATATAATTATCTTACTCACAACATGTTTTGAGTGGGTCACATGACCCTAGTCGTCGTTGTATGACAATGCTATTTATTATTCACATTTGTATGATTTTATTACAATATACTTTTGTTCATAAAACAATTGTAATAAGTTAAAAGTCACGTGGTACAAAACTGTATAAAGAAATAGTGACAAAATAATCAGCGCTGAAAGTGAGAATTCGGCTCAATAGACCCCTGGCGCCTTGCTAGTGTTAACAGATTTTCTGGGCTTGTCGTTGGGAAACTCCTCCTCAGACCGACTGCGTTATTTCTTCTAGGACAATCAGTATATATATTATGTACTGTGTAAATACATATAAAAATAATATTCTTCGTATTTTAAATCATGTATGGAGCAACGTTATGAAATATTTTGGAATTACAATAAAAATTCAGGTTCAATTACAATTATAGGTTTCGATATCAGGCGGATTTACGATTTTCACGCGGACATTGTCGCACCTTCTTGTTTATATCAGACGTAAAATGGGCGCGACGGGCAGCAGCAGCTTTAAAGGTACGATATGTCTGGTACTGCGATCCGCTTGCCGAACTTAACGATTGGGGTTACATATTGGTATACGATATGTCTGTTACTGCGATCCGCTTGCCGAACTTAACGATTGGGGTTACATATTGGTATACGATATGTCTGGTATTGCGATCCGCTTGCCGAACTTAACGATTGGAGTTACATATTGGTATACGATATGTCTGGTATTGCGATCCGCTTTCCGAACTTAACGATTGGAGTTACATATTGGTATACGATATGTCTGGTATTGCGATCCGCTTGCCGAACTTAACGATTGGGGTTACATATTGGTATACGATATGTCTGGTATTGCGATCCGCTCGCCGCACTTAACGATTGGGGTTACATGATTAGTATACGATATGTCTGGTACTGCGATCCGCTTGCCGAACTTAACGATTGGGGTTACATGATTAGTATACGATATGTCTGGTACTGCGATCCGCTTGCCGAACTTAACGATTGGGGTTACATATTAGTATACGATATGTCTGGTACTGCGATCCGCTTGCCGAACTTAACGATTGGGGTTACATATTAGTATACGATATGTCTGGTACTGCGATCCGCTTGCCGATCTTAACGATTGGGGTTACATGATTAGTATACGATATGTCTGGTATTGCGATCCGCTTGCCGAACTTAACGATTGGGGTTACATGATTAGTATACGATATGTCTGGTACTGCTATCCGCTTGCCGAACTTAACGATTGGGGTTACATGATTAGTATACGATATGTCTGGTACTGCGATCCGCTTGCCGAACTTAACGATTGGGGTTACATTATTAGTATACGATATGTCTGGTACTGCGATCCGCTTGCCGAACTTAACGATTGGGGTTACATGATTAGTATACGATATGTCTGGTACTGCGATCCGCTTGCCGAACTTAACGATTGGGGTTACATGATTAGTATACGATATGTCTGGTACTGCGATCCGCTTGCCGAACTTAACGATTGGGGTTACATGATTAGTATACGATATGTCTGGTACTGCGATCCGCTTGCCGAACTTAACGATTGGGGTTACATGATTAGTATACGATATGTCTGGTACTGCGATCCGCTTGCCGAACTTAACGATTGGGGTTACATGATTAGTATACGATATGTCTGGTACTGCGATCCGCTTGCCGAACTTAACGATTGGGGTTACATGATTAGTATACGATATCGTGTCTGGTACTGCGATCCGCTTGCCGAACTTAACGATTGGGGTTACATGATTAGTATACGATATGTCTGGTACTGCGATCCGCTTGCCGAACTTAACGATTGGGGTTACATGATTAGTATACGATATGTCTGGTACTGCGATCCGCTTGCCGAACTTAACGATTGGGGTTACATGATTAGTATACGATATATGTGTCTGGTACTGCGATCCGCTTGCCGAACTTAACGATTGGGGTTACATGATTAGTATACGATATGTCTGGTACTGCGATCCGCTTGCCGAACTTAACGATTGGGGTTACATGATTAGTATACGATATGTCTGGTACTGCGATCCGCTTGCCGAACTTAACGATTGGGGTTACATGATTAGTATACGATATGTCTGGTACTGCGATCCGCTTGCCGAACTTAACGATTGGGGTTACATATTAGTATACGATATGTCTGGTACTGCGATCCGCTTGCCGAACTTAACGATTGGGGTTACATGATTAGTATACGATATGTCTGGTATTGCGATCCGCTTGCCGAACTTAACGATTGGGGTTACATATTAGTATACGATATGTCTGGTACTGCGATCCGCTTGCCGAACTTAACGATTGGGGTTACATGATTAGTATACGATATGTCTGGTATTGCGATCCGCTTGCCGAACTTAACGATTGGGGTTACATGATTAGTATACGATATGTCTGGTACTGCGATCCGCTTGCCGAACTTAACGATTGGGGTTACATGATTAGTATACGATATGTCTGGTACTGCGATCCGCTTGCCGAACTTAACGATTGGGGTTACATGATTAGTATACGATATAGTTGTCTGGTATTGCGATCCGCTTGCCGAACTTAACGATTGGGGTTACATGATTAGTATACGATATGTCTGGTACTGCGATCCGCTTGCCGAACTTAACGATTGGGGTTACATATTAGTATACGATATGTCTGGTATTGCGATCCGCTTGCCGAACTTAACGATTGGGGTTACATGATTAGTATACGATATGTCTGGTACTGCGATCCGCTTGCCGAACTTAACGATTGGGGTTACATGATTAGTATACGATATGTCTGGTACTGCGATCCGCTTGCCGAACTTAACGATTGGGGTTACATGATTAGTATACGATATGTCTGGTATTGCGATCCGCTTGCCGAACTTAACGATTGGGGTTACATGATTAGTATACGATATGTCTGGTACTGCGATCCGCTTGCCGAACTTAACGATTGGGGTTACATGATTAGTATACGATATGTCTGGTACTGCGATCCGCTTGCCGAACTTAACGATTGGGGTTACATGATTAGTATACGATATGTCTGGTACTGCGATCCGCTTGCCGAACTTAACGATTGGGGTTACATGATTAGTATACGATATGTCTGGTACTGCGATCCGCTTGCCGAACTTAACGATTGGGGTTACATGATTAGTATACGATATGTCTGGTACTGCGATCCGCTTGCCGAACTTAACGATTGGGGTTACATGATTAGTATACGATATGTCTGGTACTGCGATCCGCTTGCCGAACTTAACGATTGGGGTTACATGATTAGTATACGATATGTCTGGTATTGCGATCCGCTTGCCGAACTTAACGATTGGGGTTACATGATTAGTATACGATATGTCTGGTACTGCGATCCGCTTGCCGAACTTAACGATTGGGGTTACATGATTAGTATACGATATGTCTGGTACTGCGATCCGCTTGCCGAACTTAACGATTGGGGTTACATGATTAGTATACGATATACGTACGTGTCTGGTATTGCGATCCGCTTGCCGAACTTAACGATTGGGGTTACATGATTAGTATACGATATGTCTGGTACTGCGATCCGCTTGCCGAACTTAACGATTGGGGTTACATGATTAGTATACGATATGTCTGGTATTGCGATCCGCTTGCCGAACTTAACGATTGGGGTTACATGATTAGTATACGATATAGACTTGTCTGGTACTGCGATCCGCTTGCCGAACTTAACGATTGGGGTTACATGATTAGTATACGATATGTCTGGTATTGCGATCCGCTTGCCGAACTTAACGATTGGGGTTACATGATTAGTATACGATATGTCTGGTACTGCGATCCGCTTGCCGAACTTAACGATTGGGGTTACATGATTAGTATACGATATGTCTGGTATTGCGATCCGCTTGCCGAACTTAACGATTGGGGTTACATGATTAGTATACGATATGTCCGGTACTGCGATCCGCTTGCCGAACTTAACGATTGGGGTTACATGATTAGTATACGATATGTCTGGTACTGCGATCCGCTTGCCGAACTTAACGATTGGGGTTACATGATTAGTATACGATATAATTATGTACAGCGGTAAATTTTCGCAGGCAGATGAAAAAAGAAAGAACAGAGAGTAAAATTATTTTATAAATATGAAATACAAAACGATAAAAACATATAGACAAAACGGTAGTACGTTACTAATGGATACAGGACCGGGTAAACATTTAACCGTAGCTTACGAGAATTTAATGATTCCGTGCGAGATCACAGGTGTATTCACAGATGTAACGGTTCGTTCATATTATGGCTGCAGTGCGCAGTATCATTTACGTCCAACTGTCATAAGTAGAGATTAGGACTGAAAAGGAGCAGAATAATACAGGGAGGAGTAAATATGTGAGCGTCCATATGTAAAATATTTCATAGGCTAGGTTTTTACTGTACAATTATATTACACTATCGATTCTGCTCCGTTTTCGCAGGGGTGATTTCTGTATCTCGAAAATAGTGCCACCTCCCTAGTCTAAATGTGAATATAAACTATAACATTTAGGGACCTATTCAAACACGCACAAAAATTTAGAAAAATCGGTTAAATGTTTTCAAAGTCTATAACGGACGTAGGTAGAAACATTTTTTGTGTTGTATATATACTGGACGACCTTTTTTACCGTCTGACATAGCGTATCAGTTAACATAACGCTTTTTTAATTGTATAAATATTTTACAGAACTCTCATAATTATAATCGTAACACTATCTAAATTTTTACGCTCAATTGAAACACTTCAAAGCTTGTGGTAAGTTTCAACAACTTCTAATAATAAGTATAAAATTTCATAACCTTATTATCTATCTATTAGATGACCTTTTTTGCCGTCTGGAAAAAATAGGGACATGTGAATTGAGTAGAAACACTGATATTTTACAAAAAAAAATGATTTAAATTTCCATAGACTTTAACACTTGGATGCAGTTTTAAAACTAATTTTCTCAAATAGAATTAGGTAATTTAAAAAGGTAATTTATATATTACACTTTTTGCCCAGAAATTTAATAATAAATATTAAATTTCTGGGCAAAAAGTGTAATATATATTTCTATTATTTCAATTTAAATAATTAAATAAACGATTACCGCCCTTTCCCATTCTATCGATGCAACAGTCTTTATGCATATCGAGCTACCAATGACTTTGAGTTTCACTCGCATGGTGTAGCTGTAGAGATGTGGCTGATGTGTGGTGGGTGGCGGCAGGTTCCAATGACGGCGTGTCCGCTGCTGGCGTGCGGCGCGGAGCAGCACTGCGGCGTGTTCTGGCAGCTGCTGGCCGCCGCGCCCGCGCAGCGTCTGCGCGCTCGACATATCTTAGCGGCTGGTGGCAGGTACGTCTGTACGTCTTTTTCTTTCCTGTCGCCATATTGCCATAGTTGCCACGCTTGGCGAGCGAGTTGGCAACCGTAGTTTTGTTGGTACGAGTATGTTACTGTTATTATAAAAATGTTGCCGTCCGTCTCCTGCATCGATCTCCTCCGTCGCCTCGTATGACACCCACCGGAAGATATGGGGAAGTGAATATTCGTACAACGCCATAAGAGGCAGTGACTAAAAACGAGAATAAAGTTAGAATAGTTTGTTGTCCATCTCTTTAATCCTATACATGATATACGACCCTGCAAGATGAAACTTTATCACTCAGTAGTATTAGTTAACCATCACGCGCTCGTTTTTCGCCCTTTTTATATGTCTATAATATAATTTCGTCCTCGTAGACTGTTCACAACTGTACTCCAACTTCCACCATCCTTTTCGTGCAGGTATGACGAGGCGGTGGAGGCGTTGGGCGAGGGCGCGCGCTTGGCGGGACGTGGTGCATGGCGCGGCGCTGCAGTAGGCTTCTCGCTGTCACTGCAGCGCGCCGCCACGCTGCTGCACGCGACCACGCAACACACACACGCACAGGTACATTGCTGCACGTGACCACGCAACACACACACGCACTGGTACATTGCTGCACGTGACCACGCAACACACACGCAAGGTACATTGCTGCACGTGACCACGCAACACACACACGCAGGTACATTGCTGCACGTGACCACGCAACACACACACACACACGCACAGGTACATTGCTGCACGTGACCACGCAACACACACACACGCACAGGTACATTGCTGCACGTGACCACGCAACACACACACGCACAGGTACATTGCTGCACGTGACCACGCAACACAAACACGCACAGGTACATTGCTGCACGCGACCACGCAACACACACACGCACAGGTACATTGCTGCACGTGACCACGCAACACACACACACGCACAGGTACATTTCTGCACGTGACCACGAAACACACACACGCACAGGTACATTGCTGCATGTGACCACGCAACACACACACGCACAGGTACATTTCTGCACGTGACCACGCAACACACACACGCACAGGTACATTGCTGCACGTGACCACGCAACACACACACACACAGGTACATCGCTGCACGTGACCGCGCAACACACACACGCACAGGTACATTGCTGCACGTGACCACGCAACACACACACGCACAGGTACATTGCTGCACGCGACCACGCAACACACACGCACAGGTACATTGCTGCACGTGACCACGCAACACACACACGCACAGGTACATTTCTGCACGTGACCACGCAACACACATACGCACAGGTACATTGCTGCACGTGACCACGCAACACACACACGCACAGGTACATTGCTGCACGTGACCACGCATCACACACACGCACAGGTACATTGCTGCACGCGACCACGCAACACACACACGCACAGGTGCATTGCTGCACGTGACCACGCAACACACACACAGCACAGGTACATTGCTGCACGTGACCACGCAACACACACACGCACAGGTACATTGCTGCATGTGACCACGCATCATCGACAGGGTGGGCCAAGAATTCGTTAACATTTAAATGTAACACTTCGCGCAAACACTGGCCGTGCGGGGCGCGGGGAAGGGTCTTGCCACTAGCTCTTTTCTTGGAAATTTAGTCGCAATGGATCGCTTCACTGGGCCGCAGCGCGCTATTGTGTGAAACAATTTTATTTAAACAACAATTCGCTCATTACTGTGAGACGCTTATTTCGCGTTGAATACGATTTACACGACTTAAGTCAGTGTCCGAGTGCTCCTTTAATAAAGAAATGGCTGAAGAAGTTCGAAGAGACGGGATCTACACTAAATGTGAAGCAAACCGGCGGCCCACGGAATTCTCGGAGCGATGGGAACGTGCACCAAGTTTCCGCTTCTGTTCAACGTGATCCAGATTTATCGATTTTTTAAATGTTAACGAATTCGTGGCCCACTCTGTATAACACATCAAATATAACTTTACCTGTAAATAAAGAAGGACAATGCAAATATAAACCAATTAATCGCTGATTTGGCATTGTATTCATATTAATTGGAGTGTCTCAAACTGTAGGAGATACAAAAACGTGTTTATGGTATTTTATTGTAGTAAAAACATTTGAAATTTAAATTTTAACTCAAGTGTAAAATTTAATATGAGTCGTTTTTATGCATGTATTATTTTAATATACGTACATATTTGTAGGTATTAATAACCATATTTTTTTCATTCACAGAAAAACTAGTCACCTAAAATTAAAAATTAAATTAAAATGATATACATACTTTACTTACATGCATCTTTAATAAATTAAGAGAAGTATCATTATTACAGTTGCTCTGCCGTTCTTACGATAAGTGCAATAACTCGAGTTTTTGGGCTTTCTGACTTAAGTACATATCCGTAATCAGGAAAATGAGCTCTATATTTTCTTCTTAGACGTAGATTCCGTTCTTTTGTTAAGCATAACTGCAATATCTAATAATACCATTTGTAAGTTGCATATCATGAACGAAATAACTTGAGTTATGCCAAGGTAAGATATAATATTTTGTGATATTTCTATAGATTACCGCAATAAGTTCAATTATGACTACTGACTACACTTATGACTAGCGCATTTTTTTTTCAATTTAGGACACATTTACTAGTCATGAGCGTAGTAAAAAATGCAAGTAAAAGTTATTGCAGATATGTTAAGGAATCTTTTTATTTAAAATTTTAAGCTGACAAATTCTAACAATAACAAGTAAAGTTATTGCAATTATTTGAAAGAAAAATAGATAAGATTTGAATGGCTATAAATACTAAATCACAATTTGTCTTCGAGTTATTGCGGCTATGAGTTGTAAAGAGCTGCCAAGGGGCGTTTTTGATTTCCGAAATGTATTTAGTAATTCTTTTAATGTGGTTCGAGATATTGATCTTAATATTCTGGTTTCTAAAACTCAACAAAGAGAACAGTTTGTTACACGTAATTGTTTAAAATGACTTGAAATCCTTCCATTGCTCGACGAAGATGATTTTTATAGGAGAAAGGTGACAAACGAGCACCCAGTCCACCTGATGGTAAGTGGTTGCTGTGGCCCATAGACATCTACATCCTAGCCTTTCCAGTAAAAAGGGTGTCCGGTTCTCTACGAAACACAGCAGCGTGAAGCTGCTATTTTACGCCGGTATTCTGTGAGATCGTGGTCCTTCCTCGGTCGAGCCAAAACATTCTTGTCACAACTATGCTACTAACATAGCTGCAGTATGGCTTTACCGCGTATGACTGTGACAATAGTAAAGTCATCATGTTTGAGGACTCCGCCGGTAGCGTCAAAAACAAAGAATATTTACTTACACCTGCACTGAAATTAGTACAACAAATATAAAACTTAATGCAGAAATTCACAATTAATCATAAAACAACATCTAAAGACAATCACGGAGACCAAAATAATGGATCAGATGCTTTATCTGATTTTCAAAAAAATACAATGAAGGACCAAAGGCTTGATGTAATACATTTAGTGCCTGACGCTAGCACGTGTGACCTCAAGGAAAAAAGACGTGTGGCACTCGGGGACTGCCGCGGTAAAGCTATTGCATAGCATTTTGTATCAACTTATGCAATTATAATTATTTATTTATTTTATTTATGCAGTATTTCTTTTTCTTTGATATTAATTCAAGTTACTTAGGTTAATCCAATCAAATTCAACCAGATTTAACCGAACCCGCGTTATAACGAACTCACTATTTGTGAAAAATGCTGTATCACCGGAACACGTCGCAAAAAACTCAGGTTCGCGCAGTACATACGTCAGGGCGGCCGTACGGCATTTATATTAACAAGACGCGCAACTACTCAGTTCCACGCTCCACGGAAAGATTTGTCACTTATTATTTATTGTCCAATTAATTGTCTTTAAGTTCAAATGGCACGCTCTATTAACATAAGTCTAAGACAAAACAAGGATACTTTCAATATATGAACAACCCGGCTTCGCGCAAAAACTCTCGCGACCCCTATAATGCGACCGGAGAACGTCATCGGCGCAGGCGCCGCGTGCCTAGCTAGGAGCGCGCCCTAGCGGCGGGCCGGGTGCAGCCCGGCCCCGCCGTCTGCTCCCTAGCTCGGCTCGATGCCAACAGGGGTGACTAAAGATGGGCGAAACTGTTATATTTTTCTAATTCGTTATGTTGTTGTAATATATTTTTCTAACTGTTGTTTTAAACTGTTATAATATATTATAACAGTTTTAAATATTACATTGTACACGCGGTAGTTCAGTTCAGTCGTCGGCTGTGTTCGCGTTTTGTTTAACGAAAAATAAACAAAAACAACAATAGCTTTTTCACGTAATATGGGGACCTGCTATCAAAACATTACGTATATAATTTAACAGATAACAGTGTCATTGTCATCTCAGCTAGACAGCTAACTGAACACTAAACTGATATATTATATATTACAACAGCCAAATTAAATAACAGGCACAACAGGCAACTAATGAAGGAAATAATATATTTTTGTTTACCGTTATAATTTAGTGTTAGTAAAATAAGCTCTTATTAAGTTAGCTTAGAGTTTAAATTAGTGTAAGCTATACGCAATCCTTGTGGCATAATGAATGTAGGTAGTATTTTATTGACTCCCATTGTCTCGGCCGACGCGACGGTTGGACCGTAAACGTAAACAGATGACGCTTTCTAACGATAATGAATATAATATTATAACAGTCAATGGTTCATTATTCTAATGTGTTGTAAGATTAAAAATATATAATGAAATATATTATCTGTTGTATGTTATAACGCCCAACTTTAGGGGTGACCGACCGCGCGCACAAATGCAGCTAGCCTCCCCCTCCCGCACCTCACTAATCGTCGCTTCACACCGCTTGAGATAAGACGATCTACTATCAGGCGCTAACAAACCCCCGTCCCGGACATAAGGACCTATGTCCGCGAGTAAATTGGCAATTAGAAGACTCTTTGTATTGTTGGTTTTTACAAAAACGATCAACTGGGCAAATGATATCTGGCCCTTTGCTTTGTGAAAAAGCATTACAGTTAAATAAAAAATTAGGTGACGGCGGCTCGTTTGTCGCAAGTAACGGATGGTTATATAGATTTATATCTCTTCATGGAATTTAATCAATGTTTATTAAAAAATAATAATTTCATAATAAACATTGATTTTCGTTGAAATTGTTGTTTTTAATAAACGCATAACATTATGTATGTACATATGTACTACAAATGCACAAAACCCGCTTTTCTTCATACATTCGATCATCCGGATTTTCGATTATCCGAATCCCTAACGGCAACAATTAGTCCGGTTAATCGAGTATATATATAAAAAAAAAAATTTTTCATTTACATATTGAGAATCTAAATTGAGAATTTAAACTATACGCGTGTGTGTGTTTGTGTGTATATAAAGAGGGCTACTTTTAATATCGCTCATTTTAATATCAAAAATTTAGGTTATCTTTATAGCAGTATTATATTTTCAATTCAAAATTAGTACTGCATTTGTGATAATAATAAAATGTAGGTATGTATATAGAGTACTCACTCATTTTCTTTCACTATTTTTTCGTGACTTTCTTCATTAATAATAAATGCACTTTGTTCATTCATATTCAAAATTTCAAAACACTTTATACACAAACACTGTGTCGAAGACTGAGGAAAAGAAACGACGTTAGACCATCGTTAGACAATGCACGACCTTCAAGCCACACCTCCGTGCCCGTCGGAGAGCGTGAGGTTTTTTTCGTTACGGAATTTCTGGATTTTCCCGCACTCAAGGCCCGCGATAGAAGCTATGCAATAGCTTAATAATTAATTGTTACACCCGAAACTAAATAAAAAAAGGAAAGAAGGGGAATCTGTCATTGATGGACTAAAAAGTTAAATTGAAGATGCGTATACCGAACAGAAAGCCCTTTCTTTCTGTTCGGTTTACGCATCTCAAGTAGAGTCACCATCAATATTACCTGCAAATCAAAAAGGATTTACCAAATGAGGTCTACCAAGGAAAAGGTGTGCATTTAATATTCCATTGAGACAACGCAGCAAACAGAAGGAAGAAGGCGCTGATGCAGAGTTAGCATTATTACCACTATGTGATGATTAATGTGGAAAAAAGTGTATGACAAAGTTTGCAGAAAAAACTTGAACAGATATTCACAATTGGTACATAAATTTAAATTGGGAATCAGGAGGGTTGTTTATAAAAGGGATGGTTGAACTATATATCGTAAAAACCCGGAAAAAAGTTTGTTTTTCTGACAACACTTGGATGTAAGCCAACAAATAAGAGATACATTAATTTGGCGCTCAGTAAGGAAGTTGATGACCAGAGACGAACGAGGAAGCTACGAACGTATAAATTCGTTGGACAAAAACATAATTAAAGAACATATTCAAAGTCTGAATCCAACAATATTACATTATCGCCGCGAACATGCCCCCAATAAGTTTTATTTACCCGGTGACTAAATACTACGATGATACATTAAACTCAGACACGTTAAACATACATTTTACTCAGATTCCAATGTTTTCTTTATGTTGAATAAGTTACTTTAAATGAATTAAGATTAACTTAAAGATTGATCTCATAATCTGCCTTAGTAAATTAAGTATAACATTTTTTTATATCCTAGGAAAAAAATAAAAATTGTCTAAACGTTTTGTTGATTTTTTAAGTTACTTATCTTGTTTTTAATATGTGCAATTGCAAAGTTCCTTAAGTCTCGATTACGTAATTTTCGTGAAAGAAAACACTTAAAATGGCCTAAAGGGATTTAATTTTTATTTTTAGGTGGTAAAGTGATATTTTTGTAACATTTTTCACAACAGTTAATTTAATTAATAAATATTTTCATACATAGTAATTAGGTTTTAATCATTTTTCATATAAACCTATAATATTCTTGCAATCAACCACCGCTGCATTGTGTCTGATTAAAATACTTTACTAATTAAAGCCGCAATAACTAAGACATTTATTGCACTTATGGTTGGAAAGAAACTACAGGACATATAGTTTATGCTACTCAAAAGAGCAATGCCTTGCGCTTATGATTAGTAACTCTATCAAAACAATTAACAGTCCTACAGATCAATACACTATTGTGTTTTTAAAGTATATATAAACGTATGTACAAATATAATATACTACAAAGAATTCTGCATCATTTTATCTGTCGTATAGTAAAAGTTTCAAGTAAATAGCTGTCATATATAGAATTAAATATTTAACTGCGATTATCTCGAAAGTAGCTGTTACGGCCCTGACTTACCCTGACAAAGGTCGTTGAACTAGGGCCCATCAGTAGTCCAACTCGACGAGTAACAGAGGGTCGGGCCCAAAATGGCCTATGGATAATTAAATTAGAACGGTTAGATACGCAAACACAAAACTTACCGAATTCCAGAAGTGTAGGGTCTACCACAAGGTGGCGTCAGGGGCAAGTAAATGGTGATGGGTGTGTAGTGTAGGAAAGTGTATAGTATAACCTGACGTCACCAATACGATCAGATAGCAGCACCACGTGCGCCGATCGCTCCACAACATGCTCACCGCTACCGGAACCCAAGTCCAGCGTCACTTAGCACCAACTATAATCGCGCGCGATCTACATAGGGATCACAAAGTTCAGCGTTCTCAGCGACAAATTAAATGTCTTATTACGCTATCAAACGAAGCACTAATAAATAGTCGATACAATTAACTGCATAAAAGTTCCTTTAATCATTCCAAACTCAAATTAGGTCTCTAATCATGTAACTCGTTCGAAACAGACAACTAAATTCGAGGCGGTCTAGACTAGATCCGAATATTCAATAGTAAATTCAAAATGGCGGGCACAATTAACACAAGCTTTAGGCCTTCAAGGCAAAACTCCGGCCGCGCGCAACCGTATACCAGTCACAAACAATACTTAAAACGGTTACAACAACAATTATATGATTACGGCCTCGTTATCACGGAGACAAATTAATATAACACTGTAAGAGGCTCGCTACGTATAATCGGCCCGGGCGTCTCGCAAATATACTCAAGAAATAAGCCTCGTTGTCACGTATATTAACGACAAATACAACACAATATAGGCCGTCGTTATCGACGCAGTAATTATTATGTAACTCCCGACGTCTAACTGGCTCGGTCGCAGCGCGCCAAGCTTCCTGCCGACTGGGCTTGCTGTGCGCGTACGACGCAGCAAGCCCCCGCCTCCCGCGCAACGCTAACCGTTTCCTCACTCCGCTTGAGACGCGCGATGGAAGTGTAACAATCGTGCGTGAACAGTAGCCAAAACCAAGTTATTGTACTCTTCATAAGAAGGGCAGTGCTGTTTTTTAAATAACTTTAAGATAACTTTAAAGTACACTCCGAACCATGAAGTTTTAATTAAAACTACTAAACAACATTCATATATATTCTATTCCTATATATACATACCTTTGGACGTTTCTTTTTCGGAGAAGTGAAATCTATTGATTTATCTCTCAACGTACTTTTTTGTGGCTCCGTCATTAAACACTCTTAATAAAAAGCAATTATCAACAAAACAAAATAACAATTATTAAATAAACAACGATTACTAAAATGGCCTCCCAAATGTTGGCGAACCCGTCTTGACCCTGATATGTTCTTGCCGGGAAAACGAGACATTACGACAAATACACAAGATGGAAAGATATGTATAATAGATTTTCAACTCCACAGTCCTTTTTAAGGTAAATGACCTTTCGTATAGCTGCTAATTGGCCGTACTATAGATATTTTTTACGCAGTGGTCTAGTGCCGAACTGCCCGTGCTGGTGTCAGTGGGTGGGAGCGGGGGAGAGGGGGGCGCGGAGCTGGCTCGCGAAGTATGGGCACGCGGGCTGCGCTGCGAGCTGTGGCCGGAGGAGGGGCAGTGGGAGGAGCAGGGAGAGGCGCAGGGGGAGGCAGAGGAGGCGGTGCGTGACATCTTCCCCGCCGGCATGCTTTTGCGCCAGCTAGCAGACTCCGTGCGACTCGACATCTGGGAGGGCAGCAAGTCAGTTGTGACAATCATTTACATTATATCGTAGCAATTTCTTATGTTTAATGATGATCGCGGAGAAGTTTTTGGCAAAAAACCAAAAGGTTTTTTGTGCGTTCATGGACTTGGAAAAGGACAGAGTGGACAGGGATGTGTTATGGCAAATGCTGAACGCATTTAGGTTGAGCGCTGGTTTAATACAGGCATTAAAGTCTCTGTATAGGGACTCGAGTGCTTGTGTTAGAATCAACGGGGTCTACTCGGACTGGTTTGGCATCCATAAAGGTGTCAGACAGGGCTGTGTAGCTTCCCCGTGGCTGTTCAACCTATTTATGGACAGTTGTTTGGAAAATTTGAAAATTGAAGAATGCGGGTTAAGAATGGGTGAGTTAACTATCAAATGCCTTTTGTACGCCGATGATCAAGTCATACTTGCTTCGTCGGCGGCCGAGTTGCAAATGATGGTTACATTAATGAACAGGTCATTAAAAGAAAGGGGAATGAAAGTGAACGCAAGTAAGACGAAAGTGATGGTTTTTGAAAGAGAAGAAAGCAAAACGGTATGTGAAATAAGAATAGAAGGAGAGTTAATTGAGCAAGTGGATGAGTTCGTATATTTGGGATGTGTATTCAGCAGGGATGGCAGATATGATAAGGATATTGAACGACGAGTGAATGCAGGAAATAAAGTAAATGGGGCTCTACACTCTACTGTGAAAAGTCAGAATATGTCAAAAAAAGCACGTATGGTATTTCACAATGCTGTATTAGTCCGTACTTTAACGTATGGTAGTGAAAGTTGGGTGTAGCAGAAGAAGCACGAGAGTAGAATAAATGCAGTAGAAATGCGGTCGCTAAGGAGTATGTTAGGGCTGAATCTGAGTGACAGGGTGAGAAACTGTGTGATAAAAGAAGAGTGTGGTTTGCAAGATGATGCAGTCACCAGGATTAAGAAAGGAATGCTTCGGTGGTTTGGTCATGTAGAAAGAATGAATGCGGAAAGACTGACAAAGCAAATATATGTTGCAGAAGTGAATGGAAGAGTCGGAAAGGGTCGTCCTAGGCGGAAGTTTGTCGACCAAATTGGCGACATACTAAAAATGGGCGAAATTAAGAGTACCCTTAACCGACGAGCATGTATGCGTGGGTATATGGATGTGGAAGAGGCGAGAGAGGTATGTCAGGATCGTGCTAAATGGAAGTCTGTAGTCTGCCTACCTCGCTGGGTTACAGGCGTGAGTGTTTTTGTTTTTATGTTCTTATGTTTATATGCAAACACCGCACAAATGAGAAAAAATACTTGATGAATGATATTATATCACGGATGGGTTTTCTGTCTGTAATTTAATAACAAATTCAAATATTATAATTAAAACAAAACGTTAAATCTCGGAAGAATATTATGCTAGTTTTTGTAATAATATTGTTGCGCGCCATAATTAATGCCCGATATATGGCGGGTGATTATTAGCGCCATCTACTATCAAGTAGCCGAAATAGGAGCGTCAAGATCTTTCATCTAGTGTCGAGGGCTTTCTGGAGGATTCTTTGCTAGAACTTTCGACATTCTACTCGAATATTCTAGATGTTTTCGGCGAAAAAATCCTATATAAATTTGGTAAGGAGCGCGACCGAGACTGTATTGAATTGGCGACACAAGCGAAGACTTTGGAGCGAAATAAAGTGAACTAAAGTGTTAAGTGTGATAGATTATTAATATTTTATTTAAGTTTTAATTGGTGTAAGGTAATTAAAGTGGCAATTTTGATAATTCGATCGGCGGTTTTTATTACGAACCCTAAGCTCGTAACAATACTGTGCATTATTTTCGTAGAAAAAAGGTGACTAACATGAACACAGTTCATCTCATTGTAAGTAGATTCCGTGGTATATAAACATCTACATCTACCCTCGATTAAGACTCTCGAGAAGATGTGTTGTTATGCCTGAGGACAAAAATGGCATGTCACATTTTCTGTAAAATGGGGTTCTCTGTACTCACCATACAAAACACTAAAACACGCTGGTATTCTGTGAGAGCGTGCTCTTACCCCTTATACTGGATTGACTTTTTACCGTCTGGAAAAAAATTGGGTTGTAACATGTGAACAGAGTAGAAGCCCATAGCACTTATATTTTACAAAAAATAAAAACAAAAATTTTGAATTAATCGTTAATTGTACAATTACTTTGCCCTTTGCCCTTGAGCCTGTAACCCTGCGTAGTGAGACGGTCAAGGATGCCTATTAAATTTATTGTTTTATTGCCGTTCGTAAAATATGGTGGATATTTTTTGAATTTCGATATATTTTAATTAATTAATTAATTTAATTCATAACTTTTGTTTTTATTTTGTCTAAAATATCAGTGGCATATGGTTTTACTTTTACATCGGCTGTAGAAAATAAACAGTATTGCAGTTCCGCCATTCCACGCTAGATGCCGCTCACCTAATAAAATACGCACTATTGAGTTGCTGTACTAGAAATGACATAGCGTTGAGACTTTGAAATAAATGTGTGCACCACTGAATGCGTTGTTTACCTTGGTTACCATAGTGACAGCAAATATCAGTAACAGTCCCTCAGACTCCCCCCACTAGAGGGAAGGAACCTTGCCGCGAATCAGCGCAGTCGAGAAGTACATCGTCGTGTGGTGTACATCGGCGTTACCCATCATAATTAAACGATAATACATATGTATACCATGCACATGCAAAACAACATATCCACCTTAAATATTACATTATACTACTGATTCAAACTACATAGCTATAAGACTTTTAGAATTTAGGTCGTATCACATGCAAGCACTAAATATCTACAGTCTACTCTAAATCAGTGCGCCGTTGTCCATGTAACAATAGTTTGCTCCTTCTCCAAACTCACTGTCTATTCTGATAGTTAATATAAGAAGCAATCACTTTAATTTGGGTCGTTTTCTAGTGTTTGTTGAGTCGCTTAATATACCTATAAAGATTCTTGTTCTAACCGAATGTTGAACAAAAAAGATCAAGCCACCGCCGCCTTTAGATAACTATCATATTATGTTCTACACAAAAAATAAACTGAACTAAAATGATGGTGCAGTAGCGTATGTGCGCAGTGGTTTGTTTTGTGGCCTCCGCTAGAGAACCGGACTGTTCAGAAGGTAACTGTTTGGTTCTGCATTTTGAAGAAAGCTGTGCGGTTATTTGTTCGTATAGACCAGCAGGTTTTCCGAATCCTGCGAATTATCTAAATTCTCCGGAGCGGATTTTAAAGGACACACTTCAAGATACTATAATACTTACAGGTGATATAAATATAAATATACTGCCGGGAACGTATCCATGAGTGGTGCAGGTTACATAAGTCTCTTGGAATACTATGGCTTACTTCAGTGTTTTGACAAACCCACACGCGTAGAATCATGTATTGACTACTTTATGGTTATAACGAAAAGTAATTGGCAAACCTTTGTATTGGATCCATTAACTGCCCACTCACCCATACTATTAATTTTAAATAGTCCGGAAATTAAAAAGTCTGTACCTAATACTAAGCGGCTCTAAATTGACTTTGATGCTATAGAAACTCAATTGGCTAATGAAAACTGGAACGAGTACTACAAACTTACCTTAGTTAATGAAACTGCTGAATATTTAATCTCTAATTTACAATCTGTTATTACATATCTCATAGAAAACAAAGACTAAAACCCTGGATTACGCCACCTATCCTTATCTCATTTCGTAAAAGGAATAAGCTTCAGAGACAACATAAAAATGCACCAAACAATAAAAATCTGAAAACCATATAATATAGTTACCGAAACATATGTAATAAGCTTGATAAATTAAGTAGAACAAATTGCTATTGCTCTAAATTCAATCAAAATAAAGATATTTGTGACTTGAGTAAAAAAACTGAAAATACATCTGATGAACTTCTCAACACTAAAACAACAACGACAGAGTCTCTTGATAAGGTAAACAGGTACTTTACTAATATTGGTCTGGAATTGGCGAATAAAACTTAACAAATTAGTAATTACAGAAGAACAAATGTCTATCAATGCAGCCAGGTCGAACTCATTACCAAATTATTTTTCCTTGTTTTTGACTGATTGCGCGTAAACTCATCAATTTATTTCAAGCCTGAAATCAAGTAATGCCTTTGTTTGGGACAGCATAACATCACACATCATAAAATATGCATGTCCTTATATTGGTGTACCTAATAAACCTTAGCTTAAAAACCGGTATCTTCCCAGATATCTTCAAAAAGGCTTTAGTAACACCAAGATAGACAAAAAACCTACCATCGAATTACAGACCTATTTCATTGTTGCCAACTCTCTCTGAAGTCTTAGAAGAAAAAAGTAAACAGTTGATTGGTTAGCTTCCTAGAAATTTGATCTGTTGAGCCCTAACCAATACGGATTCAGGAAGAATAAATCCACTAAGGTTGCTTTCCTCCATCTCACGTCCTTAGTGAATTCTTACTTTGGCAAAAATGAAAGGTGTATCGGTGTCTTTTTAGATCTTCCAAAGGCATTTGATATGGTATTGATCCCTATACTATTGATAAGGCTAGAAAACTTGGGTATTAGAGGTTTGCCACTGCAATCGATCAGGTTCTACTTAAGTAACAGGACACAAGTAGTCAGGATCTAGGAACATTTAAGCAGCAACGCTATTTGCCATTTCGGTGTGCCTCAAGGCAATACGCTAGGCACGACTCTTTTTCTCGCCTACATAAATAACCTATGTAAGTTGCAGTTAAAGGGGTTGCTGACATCGTGATGTTTGCAGATGGCACAGTACTTTTGTTTTACGGCACATCGTGGAGTAATGTTAAGTCTCGTTGAAAAAGGGATAAAAACTGTAACGTCTTAGCTTAAAGACAGCCTGCTCACTCAGAATACTGCAACAAAAAAAAGTTATATTAACCCGTTCTCGACCAGGCAGTAATTTCCAAATTCAAGTCCATACTCACGCATGTAACAGGCTACTGCGGGTACCTGCCACGTGTAATTGTGATTATTTGTACAAGCATAAAGTATTTGGGAGTTATTCTTGATGAAGGTCTTAGATGAATCCCACAAGTAACTGCCTGGCGAGTAAAACAAGGAGGCTAATTTACATATTTAAAAATTTACGTGATGTGGCTGGTTATGGTATTCTTTTGCTCACTTGCAAGTCCTTGTGTGAGAGCATTATTTCATATTGTATTTCCATCTAGGGATGTGCAATAAAGACACACCTATACTACTTGAGCGTGCGCAACACGCCGTCGTAAAAATTGTGACGCGGTTGCCTTTTAAATACCCTTCATATTACCTGTACAAGCGATGCGGTATGTTATCAGTACGTAAATTATTTGTATACCAGTGTCTTCGTAGATATCACCGCCATTCTGTGCCTTGTCCTCCTGAAAGTAATAATGGAGTAACAAGATCACTAGTACCTAGAGTCCAGACCGTGTTTGCTAGAAGAAGCTACGACTTTTGTTCACCAATGCTTTATAATAAATTATTAAAAAAAGTTAAAACTGTTAACCCCTTGTATGGCGATCGGTAAAAGTCTGGCCGATGGTTTATCACGCGCGTCTGGCAAGCAATCAGATACTGGCCGATCCGGGGTTGGGTATTTGGCGGGTAAAATGACCGGTTAACAGAAATATAAATAAAATTGTAATTAACCTTAATAACCGAGAATTTAAGAAAATACTAAAAACAAACTTGACTTACGATGCGAAACGGCTTGAATTACGATGCGATTGAAGAATTGTTCATGTAGATCACTTAATCACAACGCACGCACGCATGCACGCATGCACGCCACAAAGCACGGTCCTGAGCCACCTGCATCCATCGACTTCCTGCATGTCTTACCAGGTCGTCACTCCATCTAGTGGGGGGTAAAAAAGCGACCCTCGTTGACACACTCCCAATCTTTACAACGTTGTTGACGAGAGACTTGTGGACGATAAATCGAATTAGTACCATATTATTACTTTTTAATTATTTTTAAACAGCATATTTCTTTATAAAATTAATATACATTAAAATACTTAGACGATATATGGGGAAGTGTGAGGCCTGTAGCACAGTTTTAACTAAGCTCAAAAATAATTGTAACTATAATGTAATAAAAAATAAAATAATTAATAAAATTCATTTCATTTCACTTTACGTCGTTCATATGTTAGACTCTTTTTTTCCAGACGATAAAAAGGTCACCAGTATAGCCCATAATATAGTCGCAACATATATAGCCCATAATATAGCTGCAGCATGGGTCAAAGATGTATAAATAATATGTTTTACTACTTATAAATGATGAATATGTTTAAAAACAGGAATATTGCAGAGTAAATCTTCAGAATATAATGAAAAATGATTTTTTCTTCTATATTTTGAGTGACAAATGAGTTCTCACAATGTTCAATATGTATATTAAGAGTTCCTGTCTTGTTTATAGGCAATTCCTGGTAATGAAGTTGTTGGTTTGAGGTGAAGCATGTGGTAATGTGGTGACGTGTGGTGCTTGTGCAGGTCGCGCGAACTGGTGCTGGCTCCGGCGGACGCACTGGAGGCGCTTCGACAGCGCCTGCGCCCCGCGCCTGATGGTACGTACGCACACGCACATACACACACAAACACACACACATGAACACATACACACACACGCACACACACGCGCGCGCGCCCACACTCACATGTACAAATGAACATACAAATACACACACATGTACACGTGAACACACATACTCACGCACACACATGTATACATAAACACATGAACACATACACACACACTCACGCACGCACACATGTACACATAAACACACTCACACATACACACGCACGCACACACATCCACTCACGCACACGTCCATACACACTCACTTGCGAGCGCGCAAAAAAGTATGATTTACTTTCTTTATCTTTTAATCTATTTAAATCATAGTTTGCGTTTTACATTAATATCAAGTTAGTTTTAATCCGTTACTTGATACACTTTGTAGCGCTCATGAGCACAAAAAAGCTTGTACAATATCAGACGATACAAATATTTAAAAGAGTCTCCAACTATGTTGTTATAATTTAGTTTTGTTATTCAATATTTTTAAAACCGGGGGCAGCGAACCGCAGCAGCAGTTGGAGCGAGAGCGAGAAGCCCGGCGCGCTCAGCGTGCTGGTGTCCTTCGTGACCGGCGAGGAGAAGCTCACCAAGAACCAGAGGAGACAAATTGAGAATCAGGTTACACTTATTACTATTATACTTACTTTTTTATCCCTTTAATAGATATTTCTCCTATTATATTATTAATTGCAATTGAAAATTGAAGTGAAGTTTTCATAGAACTAGTTCACGCCGTGCGCAAAGATTATACGAAAGTGAGTTTTTACCACGTTTGCAAAGACAAGAAATTAAGTGTCAGCCCCAATCGGAGAACAATTTTACACCTAACTAAAGGCTGTTAGGACTTTGGACAGTTCGTCACTCCGTCACATGAAAGTGCTCGTGGTGGTCATTAAGTAATATGCCCGGCTGTCGAAAACGCAGTGAGTTAGTTTTTCGAGCAAAACCTCCGCGCTACCACCAAAGGTTCAGAGTTAGCCAGTACGTGTGGAAACTCCTGAATTCTTCTGGATATCACCCATTTTATTACCAACGTCTGCAAGCACTGAATATTAACGATGGTCCACCTCAAAAACAGTTTTGTAAATGGTTAGTATTATTTTAAGTGATTGCATATTTAAGTTGTAAATAGTTCGTTATTGTAAACACAAAGGGCTTTCAATGTATTTTCTATATTAAGTGGTTTTCTACTAACGTGAGTAATTAAAAGAAATATTAGCTTTCAACATCACCTGAGAGTATGAATATGAAATTTCTTCTTAATAACTTCATTATTTTTTATGTCACCTTAAGTCTACGACGAGAATGACTGACTTGACAATGTTGAAAAAATGGAACACCGGAATCGGAAAATTTAAAAAAAACATCCATGAAGAAATGGTGCCCGTTTACCAAGACTCTGCTCCTTCAATGTCAACCGTACTTATGTGGTCAAGTGAATTCAATAGAGGCAGAAAAAGCATCGAAGATGACCCCTGCCTGGGTGGGCCAATCACAGCGGCTATAGAAGAAAATGTGAAAATTACTGAAAAACTTTTAAGAACATGCATGAGTAAGAATTAAGGGTATTACATTGCCCAATGACCTTAAGGATTTGTGGATTTGATTTATAGTCGTCAAGACACTGATGTATTGCGTTCCGAGTATCCGTCACAGGTCTTTGTCCCCCGCAAAGACCTGCTTGTCGAGGGGTGCTAGTGTAATTTTAGGTATTTCTTTGTTATTTTATAATGGTAAATGAAATTTAAAAAAATAAACAATACAAATTGTTAAACGCGGCATTATGAGTTTTTGGTATATGATACATGCCTAAACTATTACGCCGTTATGGAGACAATTTACAACTTATCTTAAAAAAGAGCCTATTTACTTCGATTGTTTTCCAAAATTTGGACATTTTTATTAAAATTTTAAGCAATACAATTTATTTAGGATGACCTGAATTTAAACATATATTTTTATGAGGCACAAAGCACAAAGAGATTCACATACCAACTTCTTTAAATATAGGGTGTTTTTGGGATTTGCGCAATGTAATCACCTTAAAATGTTAGTAGCAATAACTAACCTGTACGTTGGCACTATACACACCATGTTACTGTCTCAACCTCACAAAAGTCAGTGCAAGATGGGTGCAGCGAATGCTCACTGCGCTTTAAAGGTAGGCGCGGGTTGACTGTTGCAGGGCGTTTTTGGAGCTGTGTGGTGAAGATCTAACAAGTGTTTTCAATTGGATAGTTACAGGGTATGAAAGGTGAGTTTACCACCATGACCTTGAGAGTAAACATAATGATAATAATAATAATAAGTCGATGTCTGTCGAGCTTGTCGCCATCGCGGTGAGTCACTTAGGCATGTTATCTCCGGTTGTTCGGCGCTTTCTAACTGTGAGTTATTGTACTTGCACAGGCATAACCTAGTAGTCAGAATTCTACACCAGGAGCTCGCTAAATTGCCTTATTAAAGTACTTGCCGGAAGCCGTGCTCGAAAATGACCGCGCCAGGCTCTACTGGGACCGGGCCATCATCACAGACAGGAATATTCTTGCGAATAAGCCTGATATTGTGCTGATGGACCGGGCATAGTCAAGTATATTATATATTTATATTTTTGGTCGACATTACCATTCCGTATGACGAGACCCTCGTGAAAGTCGAAACAGATAAACAAACAAAATATCTGGACCTGTCTTACGAGGTGACCGAAATTGTTCAGCAGATTGTGACCGTCTCTGCGAATGGGCTAATCCCAGTCAGCCTCTCGGGTCATCTGAGGCGACTGGGACTCCGTGACGGACCGCTCCGGGCTCAAATGCAGAAGGCGGTGCTCCTCGATACCGCCCGCATCGTCCGCCGGTTTCTTTCCCTTTCCCCCTAACCCTCGGCCGTTTGGTCTCCCTGCCGAGGGCTTCCATCTGTTTGGGCTTTTATTCATTTATGTATTTTTATGTTCTTATTTATTTTATTTTATGGATATTTATGTATATTTATCATTCTCATTCACAATTATACATTTATGGAACCCAACCAGATGAAAAAACCATATATATATATACCCCAAAAATAATAATAATTTATTTATTTCTCACCACAAACGACATAGAAGATACATTCATGTTACATATCTATTTTAACAATATTATGTTATTCATGGGAGACTGGTGCCCATGTAGGTTCAATGAACCGTATTACAGGTCACCAGCCTCCGCCCCTCCACCCGAATTGAATTTGCAATTAGTATAATATACAGAGATCACTTATGTTATGAGTAGAAATAATATTATATAGAGCGAATGAATGAAAATAATTTTATAAATGAATTAAATTAACTCGAAAAGTAAATATGAATAGAAGACTTTATCTTATTTTTTTTTTTTTTTTCTTATCTTTTGCTTACTTTTTTTTTGTGGATCTGCTTGGTAATTAGTTTTGGATATCAGTTTGGATACATAGAAATAAAAAATGAAAACTATGACGTATGTCTGTAGCGTATGTATGTGAGTGTGTGATTGTTAGTACATCCTTGTGTATGGTTGTGTATTTTTAAGAGATTATTTGAAGTAATTGTTCAGTATCTGTGTATGAAAGGGTCTGAAGATATTCCGCGAGTCTATATTTACATGACCATCTGCTGACTTCACAATTTTTGGTGTAATTTATGATATAAATACGGACCCAAAAACGTGAAGAATTTCCCAGCAAAAAACGTGAAGCAAGGCACTGACTGAGCTACTAGATGATTACGGCGATGTTCATACAGTACGAAACAGGACTCTGTGCATGGCATTTAAAGGGGTGATACCCCCCCCCTCTCAGGGGGGGGTGTCTGATCCAAAGAATGGTCACGGTGTTTTGACACTTCAAACGAACTACTCCAAGAGATACTATTTATCGAGTACTTACACAGAAAAAGATGAAACCATCAACTCATACACTTTACACTCAGCCGCTTTATGCTGTCTGAGAAAAGTAATAACAGAAAAGAGAAGAAGAAAGCTGAGCAAGTGAATGTTGTTTCTTCATATATATATATATATATATCAGATGTTTTCAAATAAATGTAGAATACTTACTACGCGTATTTTTAAAAATTGCAAAAGTGTCTAATATTGATTGTATTTAAATCTTTACTTTAACTTTTTTTATTATATATTTTATTATTAAAATTGGCTTGTCTTTGAAAAATAGATCATTAAACTCTATTAAAATAAGTTTTTTAGTTTCGTTTAGTCTAATGTTTTAGTTGTTCCGTTATTTAAAATTCCTAGAGAAAAAATCAGTGATATAATAAATATAACATTTATTTCAAATTTTATAACAAAATGATGACAACTTTTTTTTGTTTGGGTATCGAACGTATGTTTAATGTTATTTTATGTTTAATCGAAGTTTATGTAAAACAGTTGAATTAAAGAAGTGAGAAATATAAGGATAAAATATGTTAAATGTTAATGTTATGTTGATGAGTACGCATCTGTTGCGGTTAAGGTGATTACGTGAATTAACAGAATTTTTATAATTGTCAAATTATAGCGATTGCTTCACGTACAATGAAAACGCTAGCGGAAATGTCGCGGTAGTATACATTTACGGGTGTGTGTATGTCCGTGTGCAGGCGAGTGCGATGGTGGCATCGCGCGTATCGTGGGCTGCGGGCGCTCGGCGCGCCTGCGTGTTGGCGCTGGCGGCTGACGCGCCGCGCCTGGCCGCGCTTGCCGCGCGCCTGCCCGCCGCCCCGCGCGCGCCGCTGCCCCCCGTGCCCCACCCGCCGCCCGAGCTGTGCGTATCTCACACTGACACTACTTACACTCACACGTCCATGAACACACAAAAAACTTTCTGGTTTTTGGCTAAAATCTCCGCAATCATGCGCATATTTGATCTGTACACCCCATTCCCTTTCCAAATCCAAATATTCCATTAGTTTCTTTCATAATACTTTTAATTGAAGCGACAGTCGCCTAATGGCAGGACGCGGACCGCGAACTGAAAAAGGTCGTGGGTTCGAATCCACCATTCGACTACTGGCGTGAACCACTCGTAACACAAGCAATTTAAGCTTACCACGAGTGGTTAAGGGTATATTAGTAATGTTTGTAGCATTGTTAAATATTCTTTAAAAAAATTAATACTTTAGCATACAGTTTACCCACAATACTAAGCAAGCTGATACCACGGTAGTTTTTGCAGTCCTGCTGTGACCATTTTCCTTTATATATTGAAACAATAACTGCTTTCCCCCAGTCTTCCGGTACTCGCTTCAATTCCTAACATAAATTAAACAAGGTGTACAGCAGGCCTGCCACCACTCCCTCTCTAGCCCTTAGCATCTGGAGTGATACTTTATCATATCCAGCTACCTTACCTGCTTTCATGCTTTTCATTGCTTTCATTATTTCATCTACACTTATCTCTATACCCCTTTACACTTCTTTCGGAATTTCTAGTTCAACTCTACACTCATAAACATGCTTTCAAAGTATTCCTTCTGAAATAGAAATAGAAATAGAAACTTTTTTATTCAATGTAGATTATAAAAATACTTATTGAAAGTCACTTTTTTAATTTATCACTGGCTCGCAAAAAAAAACCTCTGTCCTGGGAAGAACCAGCAAGAAACCCAGCGGGACTATTTTTTTTTAATAATAGCTTACAATCATGTTTACAATCAACAACACAAGACAAATTAGAAATAGCTTGGTAGCGATCACCCTTCCCAGGGGTTATTATCATCTATAAATTCCTTAATATTATAATAACCCTTTTTATACAAACTTAGTTTAATAACATTTTTGAACTTTGTGTATGACAAATTTTGTATATTTTCTGGGATTTTGTTGTAAAAGCGTATACATCGCCCCAAGAATGAATTACTGACTCGGTGGAGTCGAGTAACTGGTACTACCAGCTTGTGTCTGTTCCTAGTATTTATAGAATGAATATCACTTATTTTCGCAAAACTACTTTTATTTTTGTGTACGTACATTACATTTTCATAAATGTATTGAGAGGCCAGAGTTAATATATTAATTTCTTTAAATTTTTGTCTCAGTGACTCTTTTGGTTTTAAATTATATATTGCTCTAATGGCCCTCTTCTGTAAAATAAATATAATTTCAGTGTCAGTCGCGTGTCCCCATAGCAAAATACCATACGACATAATGCTATGGAAATAACTGAAGTAAACTATTCTAGCTGTTTCAACACTGGTAAGAGTTCTAATCTTTTTTTACAGCATATGCTGCAGAACTAAGTCTGCTAGCTAGTTTTGATATATGGGGGAGCCATTGAAGCTTTGCGTCCAGTGTGATTCCAAGAAAAATGGTGGTATCAACAAGACTCAGTTCCTCCCCATTTAAAATTACATTAGTATTGACATGTTTAACATTAGGAGTTACGAATTTCATACATTTAGTTTTAGTTTCATTCAAATGCAAATTATTAACATTAAACCAATAAACTAACTTAGCTATAGCATTATTTACTTCGTCGTAATTTAATAACTGTCGTTTTAATTTGAAAATTAATGAAGTATCATCAGCAAATAATACTATATCAATCATGGTTATCCCCTACTATGTAAGGTAAGTCATTAATATATACAAGAAACAGAAACGGGCCAAGAATTGAGCCCTGAGGCACGCCCATTTGTACAATCGACCCGGAAGAACTCATACTATTAATAACAACTTTTTGTGTTCTGTCACTTAAATATGAAATAATTAATTTAAGAGCATCATTTCTTACACCGTAGTGTTGAAGTTTCCTGATTAATGTTTCATGGTGAACACAATCAAAGGCCTTGGATAGGTCACAGAACAAACCCAAAGCATCCTGTGAATTCTTCCATGCATTAAATATATATTTAATCAGCTCAACACCAGCATCAGTTGTCGAGCGACCCCTTGTGAAACCCAATTGATTTTTATGAAGTAATTTATTTACATTAAAAAAAATTAACAATTGATCAAGAATAATTTTTTCAAAAATTTTACTAAGTGTTGGCAGTACAGAAATAGGTCTAAAATTAGCGGGGTCCAATGTACTACCAGATTTAAATAAAGGTATTACTTTACTATGCTTCATTAAATCAGGAAACACACCAGATTTGATACTACTATTAAAAATAATAGATAGTTGAGGTGCGATTGTATCTATTATAGACGCAATAACTTTAACAGAAATCCCCCACAGATCGGCGGTTCTCTTAATATCAATAGTCTTAAAATATTTTACAATATCTTTTGATAAAACTTTATGAAATGTAAAATTCTTTGTACACACATTTACATTTTGTTTAAGTAATGATTCGGCGACGGTAGGAGAAGAATTCAGTGACTTAGTGGTTAAGATCGGAATATCAGTAAAATATTTCTCAAAAACCATTGCAACGTCCTGATCAGATTTAGTTAATTTATTGTTAAAACTTAACTGGTAGTTTGAATTGCGAGAGTTGACCTTACCAGTTTCACTATTAATTATACTCCATGTCATTTTAATTTTATTAGAAGCAGTCTTTATTTTGTTGCTTAAATACAATGACTTGGCTAAGGAGCACACTCTTTTAAATATTTTGGAATATTTTTTTACATATTCCCTAAATTCGACGCTAGGATTATATGACCTTTCATTGTAAAGTTCATATAACCTTTGTCTACTCTTATGGACTCCTACCGTCGCCCATTCATTAAATGCTTTACGATTATTCAAGGAGAATGTTTTAGAAGTAAAAGTATTATTAAATTCATTGCAAATGAGCTTAAATAATTTTGCATACAAAAAATTTGGATTATTTTGGTATGAAAGTAATGGAAGTTTTTTTACTATGTTACTTCTAAACTTCTCCAAGCGATGTGCATTTACTGGAACAAACACTACTTTTTTATCTACCTGCTTTTTGTGAACATAAGGTAATGAAACAAATTGTCCACAGTGATCAGAGCTCAATTTTTGAATAATACATTTATTGAACGGCTTAACATTTGTAAAAATGTTATCTATACATGTTGCACTAGATTCTGCAATACGTGTTGGCTCCAAAAATAAATTAAAAAGACCATAAGATTTAAACAATGATCTAAATTTAATATTAGTGGAGGAAGCTTCTAGGAGATTGATATTAAAGTCTCCACATATTACAACAGATTTATTCTGTTTATTAAGCTTAGTGAAAACTTCCCCCATAATTTTTTCAAAAGTATCATATAATGAACATGGGGGTCTGTAAACGCTCACAACAATGAGGTGCTCAAACTCAACACATGCCATTTCTACAGTTCGCTCAACAGAGAGGCTCACAATATCTTTACGTTCTTTATATGATAATAATTTACTAGCTAAAATTAAGGAGCCACCTCTTAAAATCGTTTCTCTATTGAAAGAACTGAGCACCTGGTGATTACTAAAGTTAAACATTAAATTATGAGCTTTTAACCAATGTTCAGTAATACATAAAATATGAATATTGTTGCTATTTAAAAACAATTCAATTTCTAGCTCTTTGCCTATCATGCCTTGTATATTCTGATGCACCAGGTGTAAACATCTTCAATTAACATTCTATCTCTTTAAATTTGAAACTTCGTCACGCAGAATACATACATACGTTTTCGTCTCGTATAGCAATCATTCTAAGCTGTTTCGAATGTCCCCTGGCAGTTCTTACGAGTTTCCAGGACATTTTAATATTTGCCTGGAAGTTATCATATATCCTTCTATGATTCTAATGCCTTCTTTCTTGCTTTTTCCTTTCAAATACTTCTTTTACTCTCTTATTTAGACGTCTTAAATTCTGCCTTTTTTCTTTCAGTCTCATCATTTATACCGCCAGAATTACCAGCTTTGGTTGCTCGTAAATCTAGCCATGCTCTCTTCTTTGCTTCAACTTCCATCCGTACCTCATCATCTCACCATAACGTATTTTTTCTATTCATTTGTTCTCTTACTTACACCACATACTACGGTGGCTGCATCCACCAAACCTTTCTTAACATTATCCCACACAGTATTCAAGTCTAAATCATTCATACACAACTCATTCAAACACTTAATATTTTCGATCAGTCTAAATTTATACTTCTCTTTCACATCTTCATCTTGTAACTTCTCTATTCTTCTACGCAATAACGCAGTGGTAGACACAGATGTCCGATGCCGCCAACGCTTAAATAAAACACTAATCCGACATAAGACCAAATAATGATCCGTTCCTAGGTTGAACCCCCGGTAATCCCTTGTATCTACCACTGTGCTTCGCATTCTTTCATCTACAACTATTATATCTATCATGCTTCTATCATCATCTCTTTCCCATGTATACGTGTGAATCTTCTTATGACGAAAAAAAGTGTTCGACACAAAAAGATTCTTTTCCACACATACGGTGAGGAGGTCTTCACCATTCTCATTTAAACTTTCATCACCAAACGTTCTCCTATCTTCTATATATCCTTTGATAACCAGACCTCTTCATCCCAACCCTTCCATTAAAGTCTCCTAAAATAATAATATTTTCATTTTCCTTACATTTCATCAACACCATTTTTACCATATTCCAAAACTGCTCTCGGATATAAGTGGTCTTAGACATATCCGGGGCGTACACCCCTAGCACAAACAGCTTCTTTAAGCCCACTTTTGTTCGTATCTATAGCAACCTAGGGCTTATACATTCATACTCTTTCACATACTGACCCACTCTTTCTGAAAGGATGGAACCGACTCCCTGGCAAGCCCGTTCGGTCTCGTCTACACTAGACCAATACGCGGTATACGTGCCATGTGCAGTGGCATCCTTTCCCTTTCGTTTCGTCTCATTTACACATAACACATCTATTCCTCTGTCATTCATCATTTCGCATACTTCATCCATCTTATCATTCATTGCTCGACATACATTCAGCGTAGTCAGACGGGCTTCCGCAATCCACTTTTCGCCCCTCCGGGAGAGAGAACGTGACGGGTAGTGAACCTCGACGCCGGTTTTACTCCCGGAGATTCTTCGCATCCCTGCCCCTGAACTGAACAACGAGCGAACCTGCGAGTGATCATGTTCGCTCTAACAGACAATGTTCTGCGCTCTCTCTCTATGTCAGCATCATCTTTCAGGTCAAAGGATATTGTATGGCCCAGGTACTTAAACGGAAGCACCCTTCTTAACAGGGTACCGTATAACTTAATGGGTGGTGCATATGAGGGCAAGGCTTTCGACATTATAATAGTTTAACGTTAATAATTTGCATTTAAATGGTACTAAAACTAAATGTATGAAATTCCATAACTCTAAATGTCAGACATATAAATGCTAATGTAATTTTAACTGGGAGGGGAAGCTGAATCTTTTTTATTGAAGAATGCACTAGTTTTACTTGTAATACCGGTGAAATCTAATAGATAGTCACTTTAAATTTGTTTTCAGGTTTCAAATTATTAGTATTCCCGATAGATTCGGTAAAACTAATATAACTATTGTAATATGTTGATTATAAAAAATAAATCGACATGAATTTCTTTACGTTACGCGAAAATTTGTGATTGGCCCATTCTCCATACAATAAGAAATTGTCTCTTTTTAATGATACGCTTTAGAATAGAAAATTTTGAAGCTCATCGTCTAATGAAAATACAATTCAACAAAGCGGTATCGTATGTACAACACTTCACAAAAGCGCTATCAACATTATTTGTATATTTCACATTTGCATGTCAATTTAATCTCAGACATAAAGAACAGACTTTATCTCATTCTTTCGCAGGCTGAATCCTATAGACGTATATGCTTATCTCTTTTTAGTGTCGCTTTTTCGTTTCGTCGGTTTCAAATTATAAAGATTTTAAAGAAGTTGTTACTTCAAAGACTAGATTTTTTAAACGTTAGATCATAAAGTAGTTTAGGAAGTTCGTTGTTGCGTGTGCAGGTTTGCGAAGCGCACGGAGATATGGGAGGAGGCGCACGCGGAGCTGGCGCGGCTGCTGCGGGGGGGCGGGGAGCCGCCGCTGCTGGCGCTCTACTCCATCCCCGACAACACGTGCCGCCTGCTGCTGTGACGCACGCGCGACGCACACCGACCGATTTATAACATTGGTTCCCTTTTAAAAAGCGTTATTGTTACCCCACACGAGTATTTTTCCTATATCGTGGAGGAAGTTTACATACATATATTGCACAAGGACAAACATCCAGACCCCCAAGTGAACAATTATTCCGTACTACATAAATACCAGTATCCATCGTTAAAATCTCGAAAATTATAATTGTTGGATAATTCTCGAAAGTAAAATATACCAAGAGTAATATAAATATTATAGGTAATTGTAAATATAGCCAAAGCTAGTTTTTATATTCTACACAATTGTATATAAGAAAAACTTTTTATACAAAATAAATGTACTTTGTTCTTAGAAATCGTTTCATTATGCTGTTTCGTAAAAATCCGTGACACACTGACACAAAAAAAAAAAAACAACAAATAACAAAGTAATATTCTGTAAACAGGATGCAGATTTTAGTAATCTTTTGTCATCTTATACGTGGTATAGACATGCTGCAGCTTTATTAATTGTATAGTAGTAGCACAAATGGGTTGACTCGACTGTGGAAGACCACGCTCTCACAGAATACCAGCGCAAAATAGCAGCTTAATGCTGCTGTGTTTCATATGATAAGTGTAGAAATCCGGAGACCCTCTTTTACTGGAAACGAGGCATTCCATCTTAGTCTTTTTTTATTTTATTTTATTTGATTTGATTATAAGGAACAGCAAACAGCTACAAAATACAGTAATATCTAAAATAAAATAACATGATGTATTCACAATAATGTAGCCCACAACGCTATCCACATATTACTTACAAAGTTAATTAAATTGTCGCGGACGCTGAATAAAAACTTAATAACTAAAAACTAAAAAACAGAGAGCCAAAATAATACTATTTTTACATTTTTAGTTTTTCAAATATAGATCTTTTAAAAGCAAGAATATTCGGTGTAAACAAATCTATGTCACCGTCATTGAAAAACTCGTTAAAGGAATGCATCATACGGCGAACTGGCGCGCGCAAGCCGGTATTTGTACGACATGTACTGACGGCGAACAAGTTACGAGTGCGCACAGCGCGTATATGAGCACTTCTAGGAACTACGAAATTTAAATTGGAAACTAACTCAGTACTGCTAAATTTATTGTTTACTATTTTATACAATGTTATAGCTTCAAGATATTTACGTCTACATTCAAGCGACAAAACACCAAACTCTCTCAGCAATGGGATACGAGACAAGTAAGATTTATGGCATCTATAGTACATGGCACGCAAAAACTTATTTTGGACTTTCTCAATAGCTTCTTTGTATACTTTATAGTAGGGATTCCATATAGGTATAGCATATTCAAGCTGGGAACGAACAAGAGTTTTATAGAGGTATAAGTATGTAGTTGTTCGTTTGAAGTCAGTAGAAGATCTCATAACAAATCCGTACATTTTAAAAGCTTGTTTGACTATTTTATCAATATGGATGCTTAGTTGTAGCTTAGAGTCCAACTGAATCCCCAAATCCCTTACGTCTGTCACTTTGGCCAAGGACTTTTTACAGAGGATATAATTAAACCAGACAATATTTTTCTTTTTTGTAAAGTTTATATAGTGACATTTTGGAATGCTCAATTGTAATTTATTAATGTTGCAATATGTTGTCAATCTGTCAAGGTCGCTTTGGAAAGATATACAGTCTTCTATATTTTTAATAGTTTTGCAGGCTTTCAGGCCGTCGGCATATAACAGGAAATTGGAGTTAAGAAAACATTTGTCTATATCATTAACAAAAATAATAAATAACAATGGTCCAAGAATGGATCCTTGAGGAACGCCCGATGTAACCAAAACGTCTCTTGACTGATATCCATTTATTACAACTTTTTGGGAACGGTTTTGAATATAACATGCAAACCAGCGCAGCAAATTACCACGAATACCATTGAATGCAATCTTGTTAAGAAGAATCTCATGATCCACCTTGTCGAAGGCTTCTTAAAATCTGTATATACAGCATCTACTTGAAAGCCATCATCAACTCTTGCAAATAAATTATTCATAAAGGTAAGTAGATTACTAGTAGTAGATCTATGTTTAACGAAACCGTGTTGTTCTTCAATGATAGCCCTGTGTAGAATCGGGTAAATTTGGTTGTGGACTAATTTTTCGAGTACCTTCGACAAGACGGAGAGGATAGATATAGGGCGATAATGTTCAACATCATGTTTTGACCTACTTTTATGAACTGGAGTTATATTTGCATGTTTCCACCTCCTAGGGAAAACACCCTCTGACAAACACTTATTATAGATAATGTGCAAAGGCTTATAAATATTTTCAGCAGTTTGTTTGAAAAAGAGTGGAGGAAGGCCATCTGGACCGGGACCCTTGGAAGTGTCTAAATTTTTGAGTTCATTTAGAATTTCAGTTTCAGTGTAGTAAATATTAGAAATTAAAATATCGTGACTTGAGGTACAAGATGGAGGCTGCCAATGCGAAAGAGAAGGGGGAGAGGACTCAAACACTGATTGAAAGAAGTCAGAGAACATATTACATACTGTCTCGGGGTCACTGGATTTAAGGTGATGGTAATGCAAAGTGGACGGAATTTTAGTCTCAGTTTTGCGACTTGATACATAGGTCCAATAGTGTTTTATATTTTAGTTATATTTTCCTCTACAGTGTCCATATACCTACGATAGCATTGTTTGCATTGGATCTTAAATGTATTTCTGTATTGCGAAAATTTTACGTAGTCACTTGGGTTTTTGTATTTCTTCCACTTAGTCCAGGCTTTTTGTTTACATTTAAATATTTTAATCAGAGGACGTGTAAACCAGACAGGAAATCCACCGGGGCGAGAACTAGAACGTGGTGCATGTTGTTTTATGATGTCATCTATGGTCATATAAAAGGTTTCAATGCAGGCTTCAGATGGAAGCGTTTGCAGTAGTTCCGTCCAATTTGTTTTTTCAAGCTTGGAATTAATGAGGTCAAAATCTGCTTTACGGAAGTTATACTTGGTTAGAGTGCGCCTTTTCATTTGTTTATACGTCTGATGCATATCAGTAATCGCAATGAAAGGTGGATGATAGGAATCAGGAGGAAGTAGTGGATCCGTTGGGGCTCTAATTGTAGATGAGGTGTTAGAGATGAAAAGGTTCAGTAGTTTACCATTAGAATTAAAAATTCCATTATATTGCGATGCATTTAGAAATGCCATAAAATTCAACAATAAGGAATGTGTATAGGCGGATCCAGATCCATTCAACGGTAAAGGTTGGTTACAATAATCAGAAGTGGAGGATGATGATGGTGGAACCCATGTCATATCAGGAATATTATAATCACCAATCACATAAAAGCTATCAATAAGAGGATCATTAAGGCAATCAAGTAACAGGTCAAAGTGTTTTTCATATGCATCCGGGGAGCTGCGGGGCGGAATATACACTGCACTAGTTACATGTTTCCTAATTTGGCTTGAATTAGGAATTTCGACCAGTAAACATTCAATATGCTTAGATTGCAGAGATTTATCCGGGTTTGAGGTGTTAAATATAGCAGGTTTCAGTCCACGCAGCACCGCCACCAAAACACCACCACCATCCTGTTTGTCGGTAGCTAAGCAGTCTCTGTCACATCTGTAAACCACGTACCTCTGATCTATAAATTCGCCGTTGCCAATGTCCGGAAGCAGCCAGGTCTCAGTGAGTACAATAACATCATAATTATTAGATAAGGTATTCATGTAAAGTGTGTTTAATTTGGTCCTTATACCTCTACAATTTTGATAATAAATAATAAGATGATTTGTTTGAGTCGTGTTATTCATTTAAAAAAAGAGCATTGTATTATGTTTGTTTTACTAAGATAGTGTCGAGTAACACGAGTTATTTTTAGCATAAATTTGTACCTTATTGTACAGTAGAAAGCCAGATTGTAATGGTTAGTATCTGATGAGAATAAGATTTGTGTTTTAATTTTAAAATTGAAAAATCGTGAGAAATTTTTCTGATTGCTCAGACAGACGTGTAAGTCGCTCGTTTGTTCTTTTAAGCTAGCATTGAGAAAACTGCAGTCAGTGCAGATGAGTACATCAATCAAATACATAAAAAGGTAGTAAAACGTTATAAATATAATTACGACTAGACTTTTCGAATTAGTACAATCACTTCTTTTTAGTGATTCGAAGTTTTTTGAGGTCGTCTTCTCCTCGGATGACCAGTGCTGGACTGTCGTCTTTCTCTCTAACAAGAATGGCTGAGTTTTTGATCCAGCAGTACTTGTAATGAAGTTCCTTTGCAACCTCCCGACATTTACGAAATAACAGTTTCTTCTGTAGTGTAAGGTGTTCATTCAAATATATAGTGGTAGATTGGCCCTGAATGCCGAGCTGATCAGACCTCAGTGATTTTGCTTTACGATATGCTGCAATTATATTGTCCCTCTGTGTACGTGTGCTGAATTTAGCAATAATGTTTTTAGGTCTATCATTTGTGCTGTGTGCGTGAGGAACCAGATGTATCGACACTATGTCTGCCTTTGAAATGGGGAAGCGGATCGCTGTTCCAATGGCTTCGATGATACCTATAAGGTTTTCATTTCTACGCTCCGGTACGTTACAGATTTCAACATTTGTCTGCCTGGCTTGTTGTTCCAGGGAGTCGATTCTGTACTGTAGTCTTGCAGTTGCTGATGTGGTCTGTTCACTAGCAACACGTGCGATTTCATCGACTCTTTGTTTTAAAGTATCATGTTCGTCAGATTGAAATTGAATGGAGTTTTGAATGGACGTTAATTCTATGTTTATATTAGAAACATTTTGTCTCAGGGTGGCATGCTCCTCTCGTAGAGACTTAATTTCAGTTTGGATGTCACTTAAGGTATTTTTAATTTGCTACGTGTTACTTGTACTATAACACTTTGTATATTTGGGAACGAAACTTGAAGTTTAGCGCCAGTTTACAATTTTTATTCGCAGATTATTCATTTAACGTCTCGATCGTTACACA